ACACAGACCCATGAACGGCTAAGACTCATTGTCACCAGACTAGAATAAACAAACTGAAAGTAACACGGAAATGTCACTGCGCACGCGCTGCACAGTCATGTGTTATCCAGGCACTTCTGAAGTCCTCACACATGGAGCGGCCGAGATCAAGTCAGCCGTCACTTTCTCATCCTTCACTATGAATACTCACCCTTCACTAAAGCCAAATCAAGCTGGCCGTCACTTACAAATTCGCTGGATGACCATGACTTCAGTGATATCACATGCACGGTATGGGCTAATCCGAGCCTTCGATAAATAAAAGGAATTGAAAGTAGTCTATTTTTAGAACCCATTTCTTTGCTCAAAAAAAAAATGCCTATATATCTTCTAAAGTATGTAATCATGAATGTGCCAGAAAATAACAAGTAGATTTAAAGAGCCATAAAAACCTACTTTCCGGTGATGTATGACACAATAACTGGAATTGTTTGTGGACTCTCTACAGGTCACAATTCTTATCCGATTTTGACGAAATTTGAAATATAGGTTTATCCCCAAAAGATCTCGGCTGCTTCCGATATTGGCATGTACGAAAAATCACGTTTTTAGCTTGTGGACCCTATAAAGGTCACAATTTTGATCCGATTTTGATGAAACTTGACATGCATGTTTATAACCCAAAGATCTTGGTTCCTTTCGATATTTGCGCCCTCGGGAAGTAACTTCCTGAATTATGGCCCCTTATTGTCCAAAAAATCGCGTTTTTAGCTTGTGGACCCTATAGAGGTCATAATTTTTATCCGATTTAAAAAAACGTGTTATTTTATCACCGTTACACCCTAAGGACGACTGAATTCGAATTTCGTGAAAATCATCCTAAAATCGACAGACAAAATGGACGCCGTTCGTTCTCAAATAGTGTAAAAATATGGTATATCAAGGTTGTGGACCCTACAGAGGTCACAATTTTTATCCGATTTTGTTGAAACATGAAATGTAAGTTTATAACCCAAAAATCTTGTTTCCTTTCGATATTTGTGCATATTGAATTTTAACTTCCTGAATTACGCCCCCTGATTTTTATCCGATTTAAAAAAACTTATTATTATATCACCATTAAAACCTAAGGACTGCTAAAATCAAATTTCGTGAAAATCAGCCCAAAACTGACAGACAAAATGGCCGCCCTTCATTGTCAAATAGCATAAAAATATGGTATATCAAGGTTGTTGACCCTAGAGAGGTCACAATTTTAATCCAATTTTGTTGAATGTTGAAATGTAAGTTTATAACACAAAGATCTCGGTTCCATTCGATATTCCTACCGTAACTTCCTGAATTATGGCACATGATTGTACGAAATATCGCGTTTTTAGCTTGTGGACCCTATAGAGGTCATAATTTTTATCCGACTTAAAAAAACATATTATTTTATTACTGTTACACCCTAAGGACGGCAGAGTTCTAATTTCGTGAAAAACGGCCCAAAATTGACAGACAAAATGGCCGCCATTGGTTCTCAAATATCGTAAAAATATGATATATCAAGGTTGTGGACCCTGTAGAGGTCACAATTTTTATACGCCCACATTGAAATATGATCGTATATTGTTGTCGCCCCCGTCCGTCCGGCGTCCACAAGATACACAGTGTTTAAGGTCATGAGACGAAAAAGCCTATTGATTTTCAGCGATTACCGATAATTACTGCAAGAGTTATAGCCCTTGATCACTTTGAAAAATCTTGTGGACATTCTAGAGGCTAAAGTTAATATCCGATTGACTTTAAATTGATACACAGTGTTTAAGGTCATGAGACGAAGAATCCTATTGATTTTCAGCAATTTCCGGTAATTACTTCCAGAGTTATGGTCCTTGATCACTTTGAAAAATCTTGTGGATGCTCTAGAGGCTAAAGTTAATATCCGATTGACTTTAAATTGATACACTGTGTTTAAGGTCACGAGACGAAGAATCCTATTGATTTTCAGCGATTTCCGATATTTTTTGCCAGAGTTATGGCTCTTGATCACTTTGAAAAATCTTGTTAATATCCGATTGACTTTTAATTTATACAAAATGTTTAATGTCTTGAGTCAAACAAGTATATTGATTTTCAATGAATCTTTATGACTTGAACAGCTAAATCCATGATGTTAAAAGTTTCGTATACTAAACGTTAGCATGGGGCAGAACTTTATTAAAACCAAACAAATTTTAATGGTATTCTGATAATTACTTAATGAGTTGTTACTTATTATCAGATTTTAATGTATTATAAATGTTTCATTACCGAAAAAAGTAAAAATATGCGACAACTCTTGTTGACTGCCCGAATGATATAGCTGCTGTGGGCGTATGTTTTGTTGCCTGGCAACCTATCTTTATTGGATTTTGTTGAAACTTGAAATGTAAGTTTATAACACTAGGATCTCGGTTCCTTTCGATATTTGCGCATATTGAATTGTATGCATTTTACTATATTGCTTCAGTTGTCAAGTACTTTCAAGAATGAATGTCAGAATATCGCGGAAGAAGTAAACTTTAAATATTTTTTTTTCTTTTATTTGGCATATTTTCGAATTTAGTCTATAGAAGATTTTCATTTTTTCACTTCTGAACAGCCTTGGGTATGTGTTCAATGAAAATGCAAACGATATGCTGTGGACTTTTTTTTTTTTTTTACCCTTACGTGACTTCACCAGAGGTGTGTACCATAATGTTCATTTGAAGTATTAAGTTTTTTACTAATGGGGGTCAAGTTGTACAACATTTTTGATATTTTTCAAATTATGTCATGCTTATAGCTAAAACTTCATCCATTTTATATCTCATATTTTGCTCCGGGTAATATTCATCATGTAATTTTGTGTAACATACCGGGAATAGATAACGGTAAGATTGGAAAATTGCTAATTGGTTTTTAAATGCCCAGTTTTGGTGTTGATTGTGTACAGGCTACAATTCTGAATAGATCATCCTGGAACTTTGCATATTTATTCCTTTTTGGTGCATGCCCCGACACCGAGGGACGCAATCTGTTTCACAGAGGATTACAAAATTTGGGCACGGATTTCGGACTGGGACTTTTTTTTTGGTGATAATATACGTGTAGACCGACCATAAAACGTGGTCAGAATTTCTATTGCAGCAACTGCCCGGAATGGTGCGAAACTGAGTTAAAATGCAAGGACTAAAAGTAGATTCGGAATTCAGGAGAATTTCTAGTCATACCGACGTTGAAGAAATAGAACTGTTTAATATCACGATATTCATATGGATCTAAATAAATACCAAAACAATTTAAGGGAATTGTGTACATATGGATAATGTGTGACGTGGATAATTATGAATGATAGATTAGTTGCTGAAGCAAAAGTATCGAAGAATGCAACATCTCTAGGCATTTTGTAAATTGTGTGTAATTCAGTACACAAGACATGATTGGACAATACATGAACAATATGATAATTTCTGTCAATGAAAAAAATGATTACTAATGGTCACAGTACAATGTCGCCCGTCTATATATTCTTTTGTCTAACATTATTTTAGCAATTTTTAATGGGTTTCTTGGTTATTTGTTTGTGTTAAAAAGGCAAGCGCACGAGGTAGAAACAAGGAACCAACAGGACCACATGGGCCTTTTTGCCAAAGTGGCGACTTTTTAACAATAATTATTGCCACAGATGATGGAAAATCCCCATTGGCGAAGTGGCGAGTGGCTAGCGCTCACACTGGGATTAACGATTTATTATTGTTTCAAAAACTGCCCAGAGATATTTTCTTTCAGAATTCAAGAAGCACTTTTCCATTTGATGCTATGAAAATGTAAGAAAGGACAATGTTAAAGGCAATCAATCGATCATGTGACCTTTTGATTCTTCACAACCCCTGGGAATTGATGCAAAACGAAATATTACATCTCATAGCCCAATTAATACACTACAAATTCATGTATAGTTTGTTAATAAGTGATCAATAAAGACACCACTCTTTTCATACGGTCACATTTTCATGTGGACGTATTTTGTCGCCGCCCCCGTTACTTTTGTTTGTGGGCATTCCACAGGTCATAGATTTATACTGAATTTGATGAAACTTTAAGTATGGGTTGATATCTCAAAGATTTCGATGCTTTTTATACGCCCACATTGAATGTATCTTTACACTAGTGTGTATAGCTAATGACAGTGTGCGCATTGGATGGATATATTTTGCTGTTCAATGAATGGAAAATGATTAAAATATTGTGTGATTGCAAATGAGATGGCAGATGGGAACACTTGGTCAATTCTTATGAAGGAAAATGATTAGAGATAAAAATAATTCTTTTGTGAATAATTATCAAGCTTGTATATTTACAGGATTATCAAATTTAACGTCTGTACTAATTACTTAATTAGATCGAGAACTGAATGACTGTTAAACGATTAGCTTGCAATTAGTTTATTGACTAATCTTTGACCGACATCAAAGGGACTAGAATGTATGTACGCAGTGTAACGGTTAATCATGTTTGTTAAACATTTTTCACGCTTGATTTGGGACAAGAAACTTGATACGCAGATTCCCTTAAATTTGACAAATCTTTGCTAGTCAAACTAATATCTGATTCGCACTTATGTCATTTTTATTTAGCAAACTGCGATGCGATACCGCTTATCATATTCCCTGTCTGGTGGTAATATTTTATCAAATTTACTAGGGAAAATGAAGCATGTCACCTCTTTCTTGTATTGCAGGTCAAACATACAATTTATCAGGATCATCACCATATGTTATTAGAGGAGGGGATTATAGATTTACATGTCTCTTACTTCTGTTACAGGTCAAACATACAGTTTATCAGGATCAGCACCATATGGTATTAGAGGAGGGGATTATAGATTTACATGTGGGATATCTGTTGATAATATACCTCAAGCTGTGTTGTTTAACATTGGTAATGACAGAATCTGTAGAGTATTATTATCTATGTGTCAATCATCATCTGATAACAGATATACATGTGGTTGTATGAATGGTAACAACAAACAACTGTATCTTAATATAACTAATGTTACATCAACTGATGCTGGAACCTGGACCTGTAGAGATAATTTAAATACTGGCACCAGTCCACCTGTAATTATTCCTGTTTATTGTAAGTGGATTTATTATATATGATAGTATCATGGTGGTAGGCTCGATAATATTATGTTGATACTATCAGTTAATAAAATAAAATAAAACCAAGTACGAACAATCCAAACCATAAGACAGAATTCGAAGTCCTAAAAAACGTTATAGGCAAAATAGTGTATTCAAGCAAAATAGTGTAATCAGCAAATGGACTGCTCCTAATTTTCCAATAATTTACCCTTTAACAGATGGACCAGAGAATATCAGATTTACACCAACCAAGTCTAGTATAACAGTGATAGAAAATGAAAGTAGAACTGTAACCTGTTCAGCTGACTGTAATCCACTGTGTAATATCATCTGGTACAAAGGTTCAGCTATAATATCATCTACTGAACTTCTCTCACTGAACAATATCAAGAGACAACAAGCTGGTAATTACACCTGTCAGGCTCAACACAACAATATCACCAACAGCAAGCAGACTAAAGTATTACAGATAACAGTTAATTGTAAGTATTACTCCACTCATTATAGATAACAGTTTATGGTAAGTATTACCCTACTCACTACAGATAACAGTTTATTGTAAGTATTAGTTATAACCTACATGATTGTAATCCATTAGGCCGTGTTAAATTAATTCTGCGTTTCGGGTCAACCGCGCGCGTAGCTTTCACATCATCAAATCCATGGATGTGTTGATTTTCTACACGGTAGTTTGTGTTGTGTTTTGATTTCGACAGCTCCGCGCGCGTACCTATCCACACAGTACATTCTTCACTATCGAGCACATGCCTGTCTATTTTAGGCGACATACGCACATTTTAATTTACACGCATAAATATTTGTTTTAAAAAATAAAATAATATCGTAATTTGTATACAGAAAGATTTGAAAACAAATCACGGTCATAAGTTTAAAACATTATTACATTACTCCATGTGTCAGCACGCGAACTTTCGCTGCCACATTGTCCTTGGTTACATGTGTACATAGACTTGTTTGTCCTGACACATGGACTGGACAATTTTTATTTTATTTACTAGTATTTCCGGTACAGGGCGACTTATTTCAACTTACCTACAACTTCCATCGTACAAGTTTATTAAGAGTATATGATATAAATTTATACATTAGAGTAGTTATGTTATTATTGATAAATTAACATTCCATTAGATGTGGATGGCAGTGCCACTGAACTGCAATGATAATATCAATAGACCAGTTTGAGTGCCTCCAGGGCGGCCTTAAAATGCAGTTATAGTACAACATAGAATATGACATCCACACCTGATGGATTATCTAGTAATAATAGAAAATCTTCCTGGAAATCAGTAAAACAATCCTGGAGATGGCTCTATTGGGTATATTCAGCTATATTCTGAGTTTGTGTTGTGTTGAAAAAATGTGTTTTATGTTAAAAATTGGGAGGTGTGTTGTGTTGACCTCCCTCCCTCATTGAATTCTGGAGAACCTAAAACCTGAAACACAGAATTAAATTAACATGGCCTTATATAGATAACAGATTTCAGATATATTTATTTACGTAATAGTCATTACAATCTTCCCTATTAGCAAAACATGGATCATCTTTATAATTACAATAATTTAACTTTTAACAGATGGACCAGAGAATATCAGATTTACACCAACTAGTTCTAGTATAACGGTGATAGAAAATGAAAGTAAAACTGTAACCTGTTCAGGTGACTGTAATCCATCACCGTGTAATATCAGGTGGTATAACGGTTCAACTACAATATCATCTACTGCACTTCTCTCACTGAACAACAGACAACAAGCTGGTAATTACACCTGTCAGGCTACAAATACAGAGATACATGGTTCTCAATCTAAACAACTGATGGTTATAGTACATTGTAAGTTGATAAAGTTTATATTTGTAAGCAGGTCGCTAAATTTATTTCACTGTACGATGTGTAAGGATAACATATAATACGGAAATAAAAATATCACAAACTAACTCTAACCCTAACCCTCTGAAAAATCGCAAGAAAAGATCCCAAAGATTGCGTCAATTAACTTACGACTGATTTGTGATTATATTATATAAAATGTTTTAAAATCTGAAAAGGCACAACGTAATAAGCGTAAAAAGTATATATTAAGCTTCAAAAAGCGAGAATGAATGAAATTCGACTGGGAATGCTCAGGGTTCTTCTTATCTTATATTTCTTTGTCACAATTGAAGGAAATAGGAATGTTCCAAACCATTTAAATGTAACAAATTGCACTGTTTAGGTCACTTGCCGTGGGTTTGTTCTGGGACAAATGGTAAGATTAAGATCGAAAATTGTTTTGCCTTGTTTGCACACACACATGAGTAATCCGTGTAGTCTCGGTTGTCATTGCTATCATTGTTAGGATAATAAATAAAGTCTTGATTACCTATTTTTTATACGCTTACGTTTCGTAAGTATAAAAACTTACTTCTTCAGAGAATACAACTATACAAATGATACATTTGAAGTACAATGGTTTTGGATTCCTCTCTCTTTATATATATTTGGAATCACATTTTGATGTGGACGTATGTTGTCACCTCTGTCCATCTGTGTGTCAGGGCGTCAGTTCACATTTTGTTTGTGCACACTCTACAGGTCTTAATTTTTTTCCGATTTTGATGAAACTTGAAATATAGGTTGGCATGTATCGGACCGTAACTTCATGGATTATGACGCCTTAGCTCGTGGACACTCTAGAGGTCACAATTTTTATCAGATTATGATGATACTTAAAGTTCCTTGCGACATTAGCAAACTTTGGACCGCTAATTATGTTGTTTATTATGTCCCCCGATTGTACGGAAAACCATGTTTTTATCTTATGGACCTTGTGGAGGTCACAATTGTTATCCAGTTTTAAAAAGCTGTTGAGTTTGAAATAAAAATTGGACTGAACTCTCAACATTCTACGATACAAAATATAGAACTTTGTCTCATAGAAATTCTTGCGTGGATGACAGAACATTTCTTGAAATTAAATCCAAATAAAACAGAACTGCTAGTAATTGGAACCAAGCAACAACTCCGGAAAATTGATCAAACGATAGTTAATTTTGATAAAGAAATAATTTCAGGAACCCATAAAGCTCGAAATATTGGTGCTATATTAGACTCAAACCTATCATTTAAAGATCACATACAAAGTATTTGCTCCACTGCCTTCTATCATATACAGTGTTCTTCGAAAACCGGAAGTATTATTACAATGTAGCTTCGAACATAGAACTTCGAATCACCAGAATGTTATTCCCTTTAAAAATGATTTCTGTACATTCAAAATTGTATTACATTAATTTTTATTTCATTTAACATGCGTAGGCATTTTAAATAGGTCAAGTCTGTCGTTAATTTATCTTCTTCACCGTCTTCAGTTGATCGAACTCTTGTCTTTGCTATCACGTGTTCATTGATAATGGGCGAACTCGATTGAAAGTTCCGGAATTGAATTCTCTCAATCCCAAAAATAGTGACTAAGTCAAGTGTGTCGTTAATTTATCTTCTTCACCGTCTTCAATTGATCCCACTCTTGTCTTTGATATCACGTGTTCGTTGATAATGGGCGTACTCGATTGTACGTTCCGGAATTGAATTCTCTCAATCCCGAAAAATAGTGACAATTGGGTGAAAATTACATCACAATTCTACTCACTAACCCTCCGTCGTCGGGACTGAATTCTGCGTCACTCGATTGCAATTCTGTCAATTCGGGACGTTCCGGACTGTGAATCGAGCATCCCCAGGTCGTCGTCACACGGTTCGAAGAGATCCGTAGGGTTACCAAACTTATAGGTTATTCAGGTTCAATCCGCATGCGCAACGAATGTTTCCAACAGGTGCTAGGAATATTTTAACGACTGTGAATTCGGGGTAAAAATTCGTGGATATTCTTGAGTATTTGTCACAACTGTCGTACAAGAGATTAAAATTATCAAAGTAATCAACAACGACCAACGGTAGCGAGTTTTAATCTCACAGATAATTGATTGGTGATTGCTTGTTAATCTTTTGTGGCTTGACACCCATCCAGTTTTAATCTCACGGATAATTGATCGGTAAGTGTTTGCTTCACACCCACCGATTGAAGGCCGGATTATACGGTGTCGATTCAATGGAAACCGTATGACGGGACGGCTGATTGAGGTCGAATTACCCAGAGATTTTTTAGCTGAAGTAATAAGGAAATCAATCGGGACATGAAAATGGTGTCGGATGTGACAGAGTGCCAGAGTGATCAGAGTTCGGATGTGACAGAGTGCACTGTACATCGAATTGGAAAGATCCAAAGCTATCTCAATTGTGAAAATAAAGAAAAACTCATTCACGCATTCATCTCAACTAAACTAGATTACCACAATGGTTTACTATATGGCTTACCAGACTATCAGATTAACAAACTACAACATGTTCAAAATTCAGCAGCTCGTCTCCTCACTAAAACTAGAAAACATCAACACATCTCCCCTGTATTGCTATCTTTACATTGGCTCCCAATTCAGCAAAGAATTAAGTTCAAGTTACTCCACTTCGTCTTCAATGCGTTAAACGGCCAAGCTCCATCTTATATAAAAAGTCTTGTAGAACCCTATACTACCAGCAGAAATCTCCGTTCTCAGAAAAAACATCTTCTAAAATCTCCAGCCATTAACTTACAACTTGGAAAACGTGCCTTTTCTTATGCTGGTCCCTTTCTATGGAATAGACTACCACAATCAATAAAACAATCACCGTCTGTGGGCCATTTTAAATCTCAACTCAAAACATTCCTATTTCAAAACCGTAAATAATCAGTGAATATAAAAACCAACAGCGCCTTAGAAACTGTTTTCTTCAGTATTAACGCGCTATATAAATGACGATATTATTATTATTTAATTATGAACTGCCCAATAAAATGACTGCTGACTGTTCGCTAATAGTTTATGTTTATAACCCCAAGATCTTCATTCCTTTTGATATTTGCATGAACCCAGCTTCCCGGATTATGGCCCCTGATTGTATGAAAAATCTTATATTTAGGTTGCAAAACCTTTTAAAGTTTTTATAGGATTTTGATGCAACTTACAACATGTTTTAAAAGATCTAAAACCCTTTAAATATCAATATCAATTCATTTTATACATTTTTTACATGTAAGTGTACAGTACTTCCGGTGATAATGAAAATGTTCAATTAGTTTTATGAAATCAGAAATGGCATAAGGCATCACATGGTGAAAATTCTATGTAAATTGAATAATAATTGCCATTTTTATAGACCAAAAACCTTGAAAAATGACTTGTAGAAAATCGCCTATTTCTCTGCAACCGTGCAAGTTAGAAACCATTTTCTGGTATCTGTATGATCGTATGGGTTCAATCTATATGTTGATTGGAATCAAATATCATAATTTGAAAAACATTATAAATTAGACGCATTTGAATAAAATATCTGTTTTGAAGGCTAAAAATACAGTTTTTGCCAAAATGACGTTATTTCCGGTTTAATTGGTTTGACCTCGTTAAAACTGACATTACGCATCAAATGGTGTCACTTTTATGAAAATCGAATAATTGACTCTTTTACAGGCAAACTAGCGTAAAGAGTGACTCATGCAAAATTGCCCATTTCTCGGCAACTGCTCATATTACAAACTAATTTTCACATACATTCTCTTTGTATGGATTATTGCTACTAGTTTATGAAAGTTTCAAAAAAATATATTAAAATATGAAAAGCCTGAATGGGTTGTGAATAGCTCATTTTTTCACTGAGCGCGATGATTTCTGCGCCTTAACAGGGCACACCCTTTCAGTCATACCAGATTTGAAAAAAATAATATTTGCTTTCAAAAAGTGGTACCGAACTGTCAAAATTGCAGTTTTTGCTAAATTTACGTCACATCCGTTATCGAAAGGAAAATGTACTGGTAACAATAAAAATGACAGTTTGGACCACGGAGCATATGAACTTTGTTTTATACAAATCTAACAATAAATAATTAATCTAGGACTGAAAACTGAATTAGCCAATGGGGACCAAGGAAAAATACGGTGACAAAAAATGTTGCCATTTTTGATCAAATCAGATGACTCTTTAACTCTAGGTAAAATATCACATAAAAATATTCATTAATAAAAAAGTTTTTCGTAAAAATTTATATTTTCAAAATTTGACGCCTACTATATCCGAAAATTCGTCAAAAATAAAAAATGTCAAGAACTGTAGCTATGTGCCTTGTCTCCGGCTATGTCAAAATGTATCAAATATTACAATCCGACAATTATTGATAATATTACGGCAAAATTTCGAAAAACGACAACTTCGGTGATTTCGGACATTTCGCATTGTCGCAGAACGTTAGAAATAGCTTTAAAATTTAAGTCAAACCCACTTTCCCAGTAAAACTGAAGACATCGAATCGATCCGACAAGTAGTTTCTGAGATATGCTCAAGTGGAAAAATAATAATAATAATAATAACTAGAACTGCAAAGCAGTAATGACGGGTTTCACCGGTGCCACGTTACCCTACACATATGTCACTTCTGGTACCAATGAAACCATTAAACAAGTTTCCACATAAGCATTGCACACATCAAATAAAATGGACGCCCAATCAACCAAATCCAGCAATATCAATTGATTTTATACATTTTTTACATGTAAGTGTACAGTACTTCCGGTGATAATGAAAATGTTCAATTAGTTTTATGAAATCAGAAATGGCATAAGGCATCACATGGTGAAATTTTTATGTAAATCGAACAATAATTGCCACTTTTATAGACCAAAAACCTTGAAAAGTGACTTGTAGAAAACCGCCTATTTCTCTGCAACCATTCAAGTTAGAAACCATTTTCTGGTATCTGTATGATC